TCGCAGATACTAGAGAGTCCCAGTCGCTGATACAGGCGAGCTGTGCAGATACAGGTGTTTTTCTCCTGCGAATGGGCCCTGCGAGTGGTCTGTTAGTCACAGGCCGGGGCTTGGCGGAAGGGTACCAACGACTCGGGTATTTCGAAGTGCAAGAGAACGAAAAGGGTGGCAAGTCACTAAGCAAGTCTGCAGAGGCAATGACGGATCTGGTCTTTGAGCAGGAGCAATTTCAGAGCATCTTGTTGATATAGGGTATTGTCTTACAATCTAATCGCACTCTCGGTCCATATCCCCCCATTCATCAGGCTTAGCTAGGAGTTATCCGCCCAAGTAGCAACTTCCATCAAAATTACAAGTACGATGACTTAGGTTGAAGCCTTTGTGTGAGATATTGATGGAGGCGATACGCCACAAATTGTTCTGTCAATGCCATACTGAAAACAGTCTTGGTTCTTTCCGACGACTGCCTGTTGCTTTACGATCCCCAATTCCGGCGCTGATAAAGACCTTTATTTTGATGGATACTAGCGCTTTGCTGCTGGCGGTTTAAAGTCTGATAAAAAGCGGCTGATGAACTGGATGGCCTCTTTTTGAAGGGGTTCCGTGCAAGGTTGTAGCTTCTGGCCCAGGAGATCATTCCCGTAAACGCCTTTTAGATAGAGGGCTACGTTCTTAAAACGCCGAGGGCTTGTGCGTTGCTGAACAACGAAACTAGGGAGAGATGAGAAGGAGTTTTCAAGTTCGTTGAGGTATACCACTTACGATTTGACACTGGTGGGAGACAGAAGCTCCCGAACATCCCTGGAAAACGTGGCATAGGGATTGAAAGTTTGCGATGTTATGGAAGCCTCCCAAGCCCCTTGGGGTGAATCTTTCCAATGTGCTGTGTGTACCCAGTATGGTGTTCCGGATCGAGACAAGCTCTCGTTGTCCTCTTTTCTTTCAGCATTGTTCCAATCTAGGCCTTTGTAAATTTCTCTTGGGAGGTCCTTTAGCTTTATCCAAGCGTCGATAAAAGCTTCCAATTTCGACTCTCCAGGGATAGACAACCGAATACCTATAATCCATGAGTACTCGACTGGCCAACAAAGAGCCGACCGGATCATGTATTCAAGTTGATTATCTTCCATGCCATGAACCACCCTTAATGTCTGATTTTCTTTTCCGCTCCGGACATAGGTATGATACTCAATTCTGCTGACGCATGTGGTTGGAGCATGACCTAAAAGCCGACTCAGGTCTTTGCGAAAACTCCTTTTGGTGGTAGTGAGCGGGCGTGATTTTAGCGAGAGTGACTCTTTCTCGCATTGCCCTTCGGCCGTGTTGTCGCCATATTTGGGAAATAGATGGCCCTCAAACTCTTCTGGAAGGCTGGCGACAATAGGGTTTTCCGTGACTATGAGCCATTTATAGAGATTGGTAATTTTCGCGAATTCGGGTTCCTTCGCTTCCGGAACCGCGTGACTGGTACTGGCCACTGCAGGAGCCCGGGCCCATCCGTTTACAGAAGACAAGTTTTTACCAGTCGTATGGTTTCGTGCCAAAACATCAAGCCACTCGTGTAGGAACGTGGTGTCTGGGGTCTTTTCTTGGTGCTTCTCGACTTCCGCTGCCATCTTGCAGTCGCTAGCCAAAGCTTTCGCTTCAGGCTGATTATATTGGCTTGATCGACAGTACTTCTCAAAAGAAACTAGGTATGCCTTAGGAATATTCGGAAAACCAAGTATTTGAGCTTCTCGGATCAATAAATTTCTTGGTTTGGCTGGGTGGAATAGACATGGCTGGCAATGTGGAGATTTTGTACTTGGAGAAAACTGGGAAACCTTTTTCCATTTAGTTTGAGGACCATTCAGGCTGCTCAAGTAGCAAATTGGGTTGAACGGGTGCTAGCTGAGGGCTTTACCGAGTGTCTGCCTTGTGTCTGCCTAGTGTGTGGGTGCCTCGCATGTCCACTAACCCTGGGGGGCAAGCGCAGTATCAGCTGATTGTATTTACACAAAAGTCTAAGATGCTATTACTTCTATGATTTTCATGTTATCGGTCGTTACGTGTGTGTAGAAATCTTAGTCGCGCGGATTATATCGTACATACACCTGCTAGGCTGTGCTCTTCGATATTTATGTGGCTCTACGTCTACCTGCTAACATTCAATGAGCATTTACTGAGCCTTAACTACTAACCCTGCTTATTCCGAGAACCGCGATATGCAGGGCAATCTCTTAGTAGCATAACGCCACTTTCCATGTACATCAATTGAATCGCGACTACTCTGGTTGAAGACATGCTAAAAGCTATGCAAGTTCCTTCGAAATTCGTCTGATTCCATCTCAAGCCTTTCGCAATGTCGTGAATCATCTGCTGCCAGTGATTACTTGAACCTGAAGATCAAATTCACTGAACTATGCCTAGAACAAATCAAGTGAATGAATAGAGAGTGGTGAGGATATAAGACCTACATTGTCTAATAACTTTAGTTGAAGACACGGCATTCATGAAGTGTGCACAAACAAAATCGCCAAGAGTCCGATACAGAGATACTAACCTAAGACACAAATGGATTACAGGGGATATTACGGAAAGGAGCGCCAAGAGCGCATCCAGCGGGAGCAGCGGGAGCAGCGGAGTATCATCGCTCGCGAAGAACAAGAGGTTAGTACCGACTCCCAGCTCATGATCTCAACAGCGTGAGAATTACAGACCCCTTTCCCTCTGTTGTATTCCTGAAAACACCACGCTGACGGTGCATATTTTGTTGAAGAGGCAGGAACGCGAGCGGAAACAGCGAGCACGCACGCGTGAGATGAGGCACTGTGACGCCAGCGGTTCTATGAAATGACACAGCAGATCTAGAGCCATCGTCGGAGTAGGCACTTCGTAGAATGAGAGCACAGAAAATCAAGTGCACAGTACATCAAACTTTAGATTGACTCTTGGTGTTACCATCTTGCGCACCTTGTCTTTGAGCATTTCCGAGCAAGCATAACTTATCATTGGAATTCATTTAGCAATGTCGTAAAACCATGAAGGATGTCTTCAAATCCAACATAGATTAAATTAGGACTTCTTCTTAAACAACAACTCGTTTTCTAGGCACCTTGGGCCAAATAGGCTCGAAAAGCCGACAAGTCTCCATATGAAGATCTTCGCTCCAAGGTTGGGTACTATGGTTCAACCAATCGTTTCCAAACATACAGTCTTTTTTCGACAAAACGACATATTTGAACCCTAGATCGCTTGTACGCTGGTCGACTGTCAGACTGTGATGATCTCCATTAGCGCAACAATCTCCATGACGGGTTCTTGGAATGGTACTTGCGTTCGGCATCGGGAAAAGAAGCTGCGTGGGTCTTGGGTCATGGCAGACAGGTCATCGACGCTCTTGATTCTCGTCAGCGCGTACCAACCAGGGTCATTTCCCGGGCCCATCCACTCGATGTGGTGCTCCCAATACCCCTGCCGACGAAACAACTTTTCATAATCCTTTACTCTAGCGTCGTCGGTCCATTGAATACCCTTCTCCAGCTGCTTTGGAAGGTCCGCGAGAAAGAACGTAATCTCGCTGTATAAATAGGGGTCGTCTTCGTCTATCTCGCACCGAGCGTACAGCCTCCATTTGTACTTGGAAAGCCAGAGTCCTCCGCCGGTCCAGCCTGACATGGAACTCGGAATTATTTGTTCGACCTCTCCCACGTCGAGCCCGTCGATTATGCGCAGTGTGCGCTTCGTAGCGAGGTAGTAGTGGTGCTCGACCTTTTGAGCCGTGTAGCTGGGGAGCCATGCTGAGATCATGGAGATCAAGTCGTCAATGTTCATGCCGTCTTGGCCGTCTTGGGGCCGACGAAAGTCATAGTTGGAATCCCTTGGGTATGAAGGGAAGAACTCTCTTGGAACTCTTGAGACTGTGGTACGGTTGTGTCGGGCCCATTCCATCAAGCCGTCGCACGCCCTTTTATGATCCTGCCTAACCCATGCGTCTACATCCAGCATAGGGATGGGTTCCTTCTTGGCGAGCTTTGATAATGCGTCCGACGCTGTGAAGCAAATTTCGATAACTTTGCACCAGAATTGAACATAGGCAGTGGGAAATGGAATGATGCGGATATAATCCGTTGAGGACAGCTCTCTGTTAACCCGATCTGCATCTTTGGTTGCAGTTCGCCGGGGCGCGTGGCGTGTCATGGCGACTGACGTTTGAGGACGGTCTCGACTAGAATTGTGAACAGTCGACTTTTTGAAGGGATGGACGCGAGCCCTTTTTATGTTTTGTCTTCGTACGTGTATTTAAGTCTTGCATTTTGGTAGGCTTGAATCAAATTGGAAATATTGGAAACGCCCGCAACCCGGATGACTATGGCGCTAGATATATCATGTAGCAGTCATGCGGGAAGACGTTTTGAGCTTACGACAATAATACCAAGCCATTGCTAGCTTTTAACACTTTATGATGCTGTCGCTATACTATGAGGTATCTTACATTGACATCGGGGCCGTCACGAACCGGTTCGATCAAAAAGTTGGAGCCCAGATCTACCTTCTTGTTAAGCAAGTTGGAGTCCACCCAGAAGCTTGAAGGGGGTTCACCATGGGGAAAACTCCCTATCATCTCAAGCAGTCAAGCTTATGATAACTTACTGACAATCAAGCGATAAAAAAATGGCATCAAGATTAATGGAAGGACTGCAATGTCCAATATCAACAGTCTCCTGTGACGGGCCGTATAATACCTGGCACCGTGCCAACGATAGTCATAAACTGTGTGGGGCACACGTTGACCCCCGAACCGGCCTCCGCCCGCACCTGCCCGGGCTGTGGCGCCGTTTGATTCGTCGCTGACCGGAGCATGGCCCTGACGAGTCCGATGCGGAGTGATGTCAGTCGCACGTCCCTTCCCGTCATCATCCACACTTGCTGATCTGACAAGCCAAACCACAGCTCATCACTTCAACGTCACACCTCTCGCATCTCATCCACAAAAGGAACATCACGAAACGTCCAGCACCATGGGCTTGAAGGTAAGCACTGCTGGCAATGCTACACTTCGCGGTGCTCACAACGGCGATCAGACACTTTCAGCAAAGGCGGCAGCGGCTCTGGACAAAGAGCTGATGAGCACTGGTGCGTTCTCCATCGACCAACTGATGGAGCTCGCCGGTCTCTCCGTCTCGCAAGCAGGTCAATGAACAGCCGCTCGTTACGCGTCGGTCGGGACCAACCGCTGACGCCAAGTCCAGTGTACCTCGTCCACCCGCTCAGCAAGGGCCCGAATGTTCTTGTTGCCTGCGGGCCTGGCAACAACGGTGAGCGTCACCTGCACCTCGCGCATCCGCGATATAAGCTTATTGCGCATCATAGGTGGTGATGGTCTAGTCGCCGCCCGTCACCTTCGTCACTACGGCTACAAACCCAGCATTTACTACCCCAAGCGGAGTAAGAATGAACTGTACCAAGTGAGTGAGGATGTATCTATCTTTTGTCTATCTCGTCATTATGAGTCGTGGATGCATAATACATTGGGGAGCAAGTGCTCCTTTTGGGAACGTTGCCAACACACTCTATCAGCGACTCCTCGTCGTCGAGTCTTTTCCACATCGCACATGATTTAAGATGCTTTTGCTTTTGTGAGAATCTCTTCCACCTACGCTTCGCTAAGCAAAGTCGCACAAACCTTTCATTGTGCTCGCTCCTCCCCCCGAGAAAGAAAATGGCGGCATAGTTTGCGTGCATATCATGCTGCCCGTACAATAGAATCCCCCCGGAAATTTTTGTCGGGGGCTTGCCGTGCATCGGATTGTGGCTAATCGTTTTCTCAGCGACTGGCGCAGCAGCTGGAGGACCTGAACGTCCCATTTGTGAACGACTTTCCCGCGGCCCTGAAGACGACAGACCATATCGTGGATGCCATCTTCGGTTCGTTCAAGAAGTGCTCTTTCTACTGTTGACTGTCGTTCCGCGCGCCTAACGTCGTGATCTCAGGATTCAGCTTCGCTGGCGAGGTCCGGGAGCCCTTCCCGGCGGTGATCAAGGCGCTCGAGGAGACGAAATTGCCCGTAACTTCAGTTGACGCCCCATCATCATGGAATATCGAGGATGGCCCGCCATCATCTGGTCTCGGCAGCTCTTTTCACCCGGAGGTACTCGTCAGCCTGACAGCACCTAAGCCGTTGGTGAAGCATTTCAAGGGACGACACTTTGTCGGAGGAAGGCATGTCCTAAGCTCGAGGAACCCCAAAATTAAGAAACTTTCGCAAGCTAACCTTGGGAGCAGATTCGTTTCGCCAGGTATTGCTGAAAAATACAACCTGGACCTTCCACAGTACGAAGGCATCGACCAGGTGGTAGAAGTGGACAATAACGGTCAGAAGCTGTAAATAAGGTTAGTTTTACCAAAACTTGGGACATTTCTCCCGGCGATTTTGACAAAGACACATGCTTGCTTACTTTGAGTTTCTTGTCGTCCAGAGGTAGTTGTCTAAATGACCAGACAGCCTCCCACTCGGCTATTTGGACAGACAGGACTTGGACATCGACCGTCGAGCATCTGCATTGGGCGAACTACAAGACCCTTGGGACACTCCAGAAGGGGAGGATGGTATTCGTGGCAGAAGGCGACATAGACGAGGTATAGTCTCCGACAGACTGGACAAACAGATTTGTGCTCAACGCACATGAAAGCCGAATGAACAAGTTTTCGCGCTTCTAGGAAAGCGTCGTTTTTCGGTGATGGTCGTAGGTGGTGAAGGTGATGAAAACGCGGGTAGTTGTTCTGTGTGCTCGGAAGAGGGCAACATGGAAGTGTAACTATTCCTCGTCAAGGCAATGGATAACAAAGCGGATGACAATTGGTGGAGGGACCACCAGGCTTGATGCTGCTGCTGCTGCTGCTGGCCGCTGGTGTGCCGGACTGGCGGCCCAAGTGTGGCTGATATAAAGAGCAGATGTGGCTGCTGCCCCCCGGCGAATATGCCGGTCATCCAATGGGACTGAGGAATTCGTGAAAGAATCGCCACACGGTCGGTTCCACAGGGACCCTTGCCAGGGCCGGAGCGTTTTTAACGACTGACGTTGTGACGAGGGTGCCGGAGGATCTTTCTTTGGTTGGTAGATGCAAACTGGGGGGGGGGGGGGGCGTTGACGTTGGACGAGGGGGGGTTCAAGGGTGTGTGGTGAGGCGTGAACCACTGAAGAAAGCCTGGGCCAAGCGTGCGTGTGAGCAACGGCTTTGCGGGAGGGCTAGGGGGTAGCGGCGGGGTGTTTAAAAATCATGGGAAAAAGAGAGAGGTGATAGGGGCGAAAGGTGAGGGAAGGGAAAAGAAGGGGAAAGGATGGGAGAAAGGTAAAAGGGACCCGTGGCGACTCGAAACGACGTGAAGTGACGGGAAGGGTCTAAGGAAGGGGCTTTCCGAGGGGGCAGGGCAGAGAGGCAGAGTTGAGGGTGAGTGAGAGAGAGGTGAGGTGGATAACAAGCCAACGCAACGGTGCGGAACAGAGCGACAGAGAGCGAGGCAGAGTCTAAAGAGACTGATGAATAAGAATTTTGATTTGTCTAGTTGGGTGTATTTTGGTGCGTCCCATATCCCATTCTTTTTTACGACAATCCCAGTCCGCGACTCCCCTCCCTTCAAGCCGGACGGACAGGCCAGGTAAGAAGGTAGAGGGAGGGTACGGGAGGGACAGCACGAGGTACTCGAGGTACAGAGTACATGGAGTAACAGTGAGTTTAGTCAGGCAAAAGGCAAGGACAGACAGGGTACGACAGTGTTAGCCTGTTAGGTGTGTCGAACAGCAGTGAATAGGTAGGGTCCTAAGGTAAGGCAAGGTAGAGAAGGGCAGAATTCCCCCATCCCCCATCTGCAATCCCCAGGCCCAGGGACTGAGGGATTCCGGGCTGGGCTTGGGAGGGAAATCAGGGACCCAGGGACCCAGGGAAAGCATGGACTGGCCACTACCACTCACTATGTGAGGTAAGGTTCCTATGGGTACAAAGAGCAAAGCCACAATCAATGACCTCCAATTGCCCAATGCTCTCCAACAGGAGGGGAATTGAGCTGGTGAGGGCACCGAGTGGAGGGACTGGAGGGACTACTATGTACTGTGTAGAGGGCGGGCTCAGGGAAGTTATTTGATGGGGCAACTCTCCAACTCCAACAGCTTGAGGCAGCAGACGAAGGCCAGGAAGTCCCCATTTGGAGCCTTTGGGGCCCTACCGGAGCAAATGCTCCTCGTACCCCCTGTGACAGGACCGAGCGGCAAGGCAGCGCTGACGGGGCCGCATGGAGCACTGCGTGGCACTACCAAACGGAACCCGCTTTTATTTCTCTGTCGAACCCGAACGGAATCCACCGTCAAGCAGAGGACAAGCCACCCGTTTTTCGCAGTGCAGTTGGGGTGAGGTGCTGCTGCCGTTCCGTGGCCAGTGTCGAGCGTGTGGAGAGTGGTGTCACTCGGTGCCGTGAATGGGTGGCAGGTGCAGGTGGCGCTACTGACGGGAAGGAAAGAATGAGATGCGCAGGTTCAACGCCACTGCCCATTGTATTTGCCCGGAACAATGGTCTTGCCATGAGGGCACCTTGCGCTTGCCGTCTGCTAATTAAGCATGTACCGTGTCGGAATCGTTGCATTGTTCTTTCCCAATTGGAGAAAGCCCAGGAACTAAGCCCGCCTCGCTCTTGCCCACGAAGCAATTGCGATAGCAACAGAGGGAAAGCACGGTTGGCCTACCCGTCGCCTGCCCAAGGAAGGAAGCCAGCCGTGCCGTACTTGTAGAATGGAAGGAAGGGTCCAACAGGGATTCAATGCGAAAGTAGCAGGTACATGTGCCATATTCGTTCGTCGCGCCTTCCTCTTCCTCTCAACTGCGGAGTACGTATCCCCCAACTGCCCACCCCGAGATTCCCATCTGATCAGCTTCCGCGTGCCGTACCTGACTGTTCCCGGCCTTCCTTACCTCACCTTGCTTGCCCGCCGCGCCTCGTCCGGTCAACCTTCCCTCCACCTTGAGGTCCTATCTTCGTTCTCATCATACTTTATCGCACGTCTCCGACAGCTTTGCCCATCAACCGACAACGCCAGCGGGGTCGAAACTTGTTGCTTCGCTCTGGCCGCTTGCTATTTTCCTCCTACCCTCTCCGCAGGGTCCATTCACAGACGAGTCGTGCTACTCTGCTCGGTTTCCGACCCCCGGGGCACTCCGTTTTGAGGTTCCCATCCCCGTGTCGGAGAGAGAGAAAAAAAGGGCTTACCTTCGTCAGTTCAGGACGATTAGCTCCGGACCGCCAGGGCAGGGAGACAGGGCATCAGGGCAAAAAGTGGCGGAGAACACACGACGACGAGCTCGATATCGCAATTCAACCCGAAAATCCCATCCGCCCCGCGCGGCCTTTGATGTACCCAGCCTATCCTATCGCCTTGTCGCATTTCGCTGTCAATCCGTCAGCTCCCTCCCCCCTGCCCTGTCGCTTCCTCATGAGCCGACCCGGTCTGTAGGTGCAAACACCACGTCATAGACAACCACAAGCTACACCACAGCTTCAGCCCCGTGGGATGGCAACAACGAGCCCCTCCTGGCACGGTTGGAGTCAGGACTTGAAGCTCAAATTCTCCGACAAGAACAAAACCACAAAGTTCTCGAACCGTCAGCGCCTTAATTGGATCATGGTGGCCTCTACTCGGCAGGCGACGACTTCAAGAGTACATAGTAGCCAGTCCAGCTTCCTCGGGCGTTCCCGACACAGCCAACAATGAACGCACCATGTCATTGACGCAAATGGCGTGGGGCCGCACAAGGCAATCGTGCTGGGAGCCCTTCGCCTGAGGAACATGAACATTCACATAACGTCAAACAAGGAGAGACTCCTCCAGGCAGGCCACAAGGTGCACGAAACTTCTGGTGGCTTCGAGAAAGCAAAATGGGCGCGTCTGGACCCTGTGGCAGCTCTGGACGGGAATGCCATCTTGGCCTCCCGCCAGGAGGAAGCTAAAGCAGCCCTGGTGGCGAATCACCTTCCATTGGCCCCACCAACTTGAGGCTCATTTCCTGGCTACCGCCCGCGCATGTGGCAGCTGGTGCACGACGGTCGCTGAGGCCATGCGCACCGCAGCTATTGGACGAGCCCGGCAGCCACAGTTGCCGTGGTTGTGGCCCGTCAGACTCTGCGATCTCCTTCACAAGACCCTCAGTCAGGGATCGCGCCGCTTCCTGGAGAAATCTCCCCACGCTGTTCCGTCCCAACCACGATTCATTGGTGCTTCATCAACCCCTAGCTCCCGAATCGCTGTGTCATTGGCCACGCGCATCCGTGGAGAACACTTCTTTGCAATGCCTCACCCACACTGTGCTTGGCGGTCAGCAGCTCGGCATCAAATCGCAGCCAGTCGCATGTTTGCTTTAGGGGACTCTTATTGCACACCCCCGCCCCGCCCACTGCCACATCCCTCTGTGGCTAAGGCAGGCGCGCTGCCAGGTGCCAGCCTCTTTCAGTTGCGCCTGCCTAGCTAGTTGTTCCATAGTCGGGAGGGTCAACGTGGCGGATAACGGTCCCTTCCAACCAGATTCGGCGGATTTTGGCCCTTGAGATAAATGATGAGGCCTCGAGTGGGTATTCCAATCGAGCTGGCGAACATGACTGGAAGGCTGCCGGTGGTCCCAGAAGGGCGGATAACGATTTGGGTTCAAGATACGGAGTATCGACGTTCAAACGAGATGCAACCGCTGTAGCGGAGCGGGCAGGCAGTACGAGCAGGGTATCGCAGACTTCGCAGTTCTGCAATTTCTTGCGTGCTACAACTGCTTAACGAAAATGGTCAAAATACCCCGGTACCCTCCCCGCCAGCTCGACCCTCGCACCCGGTCCATCATCATCTTCCCTGGAGAAACACCTCCGCCGTCAGCTCCTCGTCTCGACTCACGTCATCATGGATGGCAGTGGGCACACGAATCTGACCGTCACGGCTCGCATACCCGCTGTCGACACCCAACGAGATTGAGTTTTACCGTCCCAGCTGTCCCGGCCGTGTGTTGACTAGAGTACAACGACACACCCCGGCCGAATGCGCCCGTGGGCCTCACGCTCGAGTCGTGCTGAAGTTTTCGAGATACCGCCATCGGTTTCTGCATGCAATTCTGTCTGCGTGTGTTGTTCTGATAACCGACAGCTGGCTCTGGCCCCACACCGAACCCCGCCTACACAACAAAAGGGGGCTTTGGTCTCCTGCAGCGCAGTGAGTGTTTGCTGCATCCTCATCCTTTCTCATGTTGGGCCACGACCTTGTGCCTTGGCTTTCGACCAGCGGCGTTCCTAGGCGGCGTTCTAGGAACACTGGATGCCGGGCAATTATCTCCGGTGCCGCTCTACGACACAGCGCCGCTTTGTCCGTACCGGCGACACCTCAACACGGGCTCCCGGATCCCAGTCATCCTACCGACAGCAGCAGATATCAATGGTCCGTGTCTCGGAGCTGGCTCCGTCCCGACAGCCTCGCATGAAAATCAGTGCCCTTCTTGGAGACACCGTCTGCCATCCCACGGAAGCCTCAGCGGCGGTAACCACTGAATAAGCCAATCTTTTTGCGACTCGTCTAGATGATTCTAGAGTTGAGAATTTCGGGCAAACCGTGCTGATCCTTGCCGCTTGGGGCAACGCACGGCGATGGTATCGCAATAAAATTTTGATGGTCGCATGCCACCCTTTGCCGCAGGGGCAGCTGCATAGCCCCCTCCGACGCTTCCAAGGTTTGAGGGCATTCGCACATTCATCCAACCGGTGGTATTGCACCGCTCCGCTACAAGTGCTCCGGCCGGAGGCGACCTTACGGCCGACGGCTACGCACGTCTTCGGTGCTAATTAGTGCACGCACCTGACCACGAGGATCATCAGTGACCAAAAAATGCAGATTTCATGATAATCGTTTGCCGTTGTCGCCTGATTGAATCGGGAGCGACGACACTCGGCCGGGTGTTTCGCGAAGATTCCAGCAATTTGGGGATCGGGTGGGGTGGGGTTTTGGGTTTGCGTCAGACAAGACGCGCCGGGGCTGCAATAACCCCGATTTTGGTTCCCGACATGCATGCGATCATCAGTGACTTTTGCCAGCCGTAAGTGAGGGGTCCTGAGTTAGTTCTGACAACGAACAATGGTTTTGACGGTTCTCCGCGTGGCATTGCTTATTCTATCTCAACTCAGCGGCAGAGCGGCCCGAGCGATATCTCCACGATGTACTCCGGTGTACAAGTACAGCCTCCTACTTTGTCTTCCCACTTGCAGGCCTCGGTATCGGCCAAACCGTCTTATCCATGCTCCCATGACGTTGAATGGCCACACTTTGCCTGCCGGTGATGTTCAACTGCATGAACCGATATTGAGGCTGGGCCACCTCTCAATTTGGATATCGTGTACGTATGTTAGAGGGCTTATCTCTCCACAACTGGGACAGGCCTCAATCTCCTCTGTGTCAAGTTTAACCCAATGACTCCGCCGTAGCTACGTAGTCTCCATTCGATGGCAAAACATTTATAATAGAACAGCACCTGTCAAGTTTCGAAGTGTTTCTTCAGCAACAACAGACCAAGGGCCGCGTCACTTCATCACGAAAGCAGTGGCGTATATTCCGTCAGCAGAAGCTGCGGTTCAATTCTCTCTGGCTACGTTCCTCGCGCGGACTAACTTCAATGGGCCATCTCCAGATATGACACCGCCTCCGGGCTCCGCCGTGTGATTCACCACCACCAACACCGCTGCTATTGCTTCCTCGGCTCCGTTGGAAAGACTCTTCCAGCCCTGACGATAACCTTCTCGCATGTGTCTCGACTCTCTTCCGGAGCATCCGCAGGCGGTCGAGGTACCGCTCGCATCGTCGGGTGGTGCTAACCAGGCTGTCGTGGGAGAAGCTACTCCGCTGCCATGGCGGGACAACGAAGGGGGCGCCGGCGGGGAGGGCGTGGTAGGGACCGACGCGCGTCAGGCAGGGCGTGCAGCTGCCTGGGAGGACGTAGGTCGTGATGGAGTTTGTGTGGTTTAAGTGGCAGACTTGGGTGGCGGGCGTGAGGGGGCAGGTGTGGCGGTTGGCGGAGGTTATGGCGTTGCAGGAGCGGCATTTGAGGATGTGGATTGTGCACATTGTGGCGATGGCGAGGGAGTTTTGGTGGAGTCGGAGAAGGATACGTGGTGTTGGGTTATTGGGTGGAGAGTTGTGATGCTCTTATGGAGGTGAGAAGGTAGTTGGTGATCGAGACGTTGTGGTGAATTGGAAGGTAGGCTGGAAGGTTGTAGTTGAGTGAATGAGTTGTTTGAGTTGGGATAAAGTTAGTGATGCTCAGGTTTGAGTGTCAGCTCGTGAAAGATCACAGAACTGTTGACGGGCGTCGAGGGAAGGTGCGATGGAAGACATTCGCACCTGCCTCGTTAAACGAGGAATGTTCTCAAGATGAGGTCAGTTGCGTTTCGAGCTGTTCTTGTCCAACGTTTGGAAGAAGCTTAGTTGTGACTTAGAAGAAGTAGAAGTGACTTCGTTACTCTGGCATGTCCTCAAGTCCTCAGCGAACAGGAAATATAAGTAGCTTCAGTACGAAGCCTTTCGATTTGACTGCAAGACGCTAGCATAGCAGTTTGATATGCTCGCTTCTGTCTTTGCTGTCTCTCTACCATGCTAAGCACGTCAAATAGCAGGTGTGTTTCTTCGTTTTAAAACTCCTAGAGACTTTAACCTGTAGTATTAGCATCGACTTTCACAGAGACATATCTGTGCTGTGCGAGGAATGTACAAGCTGAGGAAATGCGGGCAAAGAGTCCAGGCGACGCAGAGGAGGACTTTCGAAATAGAGACGACAAGAGCAGAACTAGGAGTAGACACTACACTAAAATTATAAAAGACATAGTCTCAGCGTTGTAGGAAACTTACCTAGCTTCTTGCCTTTTAAAAGGGATATTGAAGTAGATCTATTACCTTGAGTCAGTGGACTAAATGAGAGGCGTCTCCGTATGGTGTATCCCGTCTTGGGCCGAGATTTGTCTCGTTTTTCAACGGCATTTACTTAAGAATCAACCAGTATTTTGTTAACCGAGTGATGAAGCAACGAGCGGAAGCCCTTGCAGTTCGTCACAAGAACAATCTCTGCAATTGGGGCGAGTGTATACCAACAATCAATTTATCCATGGAACAGACATAATATCTTTGCTAGACTTCACGGTACACAATATGACATTGCCCCTAACTGATGATCTTCACTCCTTCTCACAAGAAGATGTCTATTGATTACTCGGAAATCCACGAGCAAAACCCACCCGTCAATGCTCGGATGAGCCGCCGGTGGCTCACGCTCCCGGCCACATCGTCAAGACTTTGGACACGATCATTTATGCTGTAAACTTGCTCAGCGAAAAGGCATGTATTGCAGACTTTGTCCAATCAATCACCACAACAACGCCGCCAAGATGACTGGAAACAGCAGCGATGTATCTCGCGCCTAAAATCGCTGTTGGACATCAGATAAATATCGCTTGCGATGTCTGGGCCTTTGGTTGCATGAGTTTTGGTGCTCTCTGTGGAGACGATCTCCTTTTCGACAGCGATGATTTCGGTCGACAGATTATCTTGGGAAATATTATCTCGACAATGGGCGAAATGCCCAAAAAGCGGAAGCATACACGGTTTGAATAGGATGGAAAGCCCACAGAAGACGACTTGCCAGCCATTGAGCCCTGGTCTGATGAATACACGACAATGCTGTGGAAGTCCACGGCTGTGTGCGTTGTGGGGAAGTGCTTTGCCGCCTATATGGAAGACCCAGACGAGCTTTTTGGGGGGGTGCTTTCAAGGATGAGGTGACGGCATTGTTTGACCTGCTACTCAATATTTTCGGGTATGACACCTCAAAGCGGGCGACTGCTGAAGAAGTCTTCGATCCTGAGACGTTTTCTTCATGACTACACGAATCACTGCAACGATCTCTGCTTTTTCTTCACACAGCTTATCAAGTAGGATGCTTGTTCACACCTTCTTGATAGATTTGACTGCGCTTCCAATTACCGATGGACACGCTGAATCCGTGCCGAGGTGATTGAAACTATGCACGGTTGTAACCGACGGAGTCCTATTGAGTAGTAGGCGCCAGCCAACCTCCCAGCCGCTAATCGCAAGTTCCGCTGAGAGTCGGATGTGAACTAAGATCCGATCGAGTGTCCAAAAACTAGTTCTGATCTACGCTCGGGCCCACCGTTCGCCAGCGCCGTTTCTGGGGGAAGCCAATCCCGGCACCGACCTTTAACCTCCGGACCCACTCGGATGTAGCGCCCGTGTTACGATCCGACTCGGAACTTGACTTACACCACGGGATTCAAGGACGAGAGTTCATGGAGGTTTGACAGCCGACATTTTCAGTCCGCATTAGTTCAAAATACATAAAAGGCTGCTGAGGATTGCGTATCTCGAACATGGCAACACCGTCAGCAATTCAACTCACTCACCAAACCCTATCCAGAAAACCTATCACGTCTGCCCATCATGTCTTTCGACCTTAGCAAGCCAAACCGCAAGATCCACGCCGGCGTGATCTTAACCAAAGGGTAAGCAATTAATCCACATCATGAAATTAACTAACGTGGCCACAGCATCACTGAGATGCTCGATGTAGCTCCCTTCGAATTCTTCCACTGGACGGGCAAGGAGGCCGTAGCTGCTATGAATCTCCCTGAGCATATGATGGGAGACGCACTCGAATTTGAGCTGCACTGGGTCAATGAGGATGGCAAGCCGGCTAAAATGGCGAGCAATGCTCAGATCCTGCCCACTGTAAGTCCAAGCATGCCCCGCCTTACGTCATCGTGATCTGCTGACAGTGTCAAGGACTCCTTTGAGTCTTGTCCACCTCTCGACATCGCTCTCATGGGTGCTCATGATTTCAAGTACAAGACAAGCCCTACCGAGATTGAATTCATCCGCAAGACCTTTGAGAACTGCAGTGCGTTCCTTACTATCTGCGGTGGAATGGTGCCTCTGCTTGAGGCTGGCATCCTCGCTGGCAAGACATCCACTTGTCCTCGGTCGATCTTCGAGTTGATGAAGAAGACCGTGCCGGTTGTCAATTGGGTCGACAAGCGCTGGGCCCAGGATGGCAAGTTGTGGACGGCCAGTACCCTGCTCAACGGTACTGACTTGATTCGCGCCTTCGCTACAGAGACTTGGGGCGGAAGAACGGGAATGATTGAGGCTTTCCTTGATGCTGGGCATTATCCTGAGAGGGATGTTGACTTCAAGGATTTCAAGGGGCACCATTACCCCATTGAGCAGATTCCGAGCGAGGTAGCACTCTCCTCGGTTAGTCGTGTGTGATACATAGTTCCGCAGGAAACGCTTGGGAAAAGGAGCCACCTAATCCTCCTCTGCGGGAGTGAATTCAATATTCATCTCGCGTTCCCCCATATCTGCCATTATTAACATTGTTAAAGAGACATTTGTGGATAGAAGTAGAATGCCACGCGGGGATTTCTCGATCCATTTACCTACATTCATGCACAAGATGACGTTGAAATCTCATGATTTACCTAGTTACTTCACACATATACTCTCGGGACTACAGCTGTTATCATCTGTATCGTCGTCGTCATCGTCGTCCCTGTCTATCTTTATCTACAGCCAACATGCACTCGGTTAGCTGGGAGCATGGGCCTTAGGTAAGAGCGCGCTGGGACGTGTCAACTCTGAGATGAATTCGTTGCATAGTAAACTTCAGTTCATCTGCATTCTGCGATATGAATTTTGTAGATCCGTATACGAGCGTCAAAGAGGCGTTCCGTACTGTGGTGGGTGTTGCAGAGCAAGGCCCTCAATCCGGGGGAAATGAGAAAATGGAATTCCAAAGACGCAAAACCGACGTGTTCTCATTCTCGTGTGTATGAACCAATCAAATCAAGAGTGGTTTTCATCGCCCAGGCAATGTGCCGCAACGTCGTTGGCTCAGCGGTGCCAACCCCCGGCATTGCTACTCCGCCACGTCTTATGTGCATCAGTCCATTGGACTGTGGCATGAACACCTCCACTGCTGGTTATCTTTCCCCAGCCGAAGCCCGATTTTGACGACACCACTCACTCTTCCTCCTACATGATTTGAATCTTCACAGTCGGTTATCATTGAAGTTGCACGGCTTACCTATCCAAATCCAAGCACTACCGGTATCGACAGCTATGACGAACATGATCTCATATCCTTTGTCTCGATATTCCGAATCGATATCTCGTCCCGACTTTCAAGATGATGCCACCGATCAACAGGGTGTTTCTCTACCCAGTGGTCTTGGCGCGTCCAGGTCCAGTTCTTCACTCGAGAAGGATTCAACGTCCGGTCGCAGCAAATTCTGTTGGACTGACTCGCTTGAACGGAAACTGGTGAGACTTTACTTGTATACGACGCTTTCAATTCCATCAATCGCCGAAATTTTGCGGAGCAAAGATGGATCCAACCTGTATGTATTGCCAGATCAACGTCTTGCGACACAGCACCGGACTGAAGCATGCATTTAGGAGTAAAGACCTTGCCCAAAAGAAGCTCAGCACGATGCTAGACAAGGACCCCAGATGGCTGCATCCTCGGAACCGAGAAGATGCCGAAAGGCGACTGACGCTACTTCAAGAACGACTTGACTCGATACAGGAGAGGAAACGCTGTATTCCAAAGGACGAGAATGTAGTCATCTCCCCCAAAGACGAGTTCTTGCATCGCCGCTCTTCACCCCAGCCTCAAATGAAACTTGAAGAAGGAGATCAGCGTCTAGAGCACTCACCACATATAAGCTGTGCGCCCAGATCGCAACCGAAAGTCCCACTGGAAACACGGGAATTGCTTGAGAGACATTGTGGCAATAGCGGAATGGAGACCGAGTTCATTCTCGGGGAGATATCCATGGATAGCACTACCGTCGCTTCAGAGGAACGTCAGAACGCTCCAGACCTTGATGGGCTCGCCTTCAAGATTATCAAAGCCGATGCTGGGGCTCAGAGAGCTCACACGTCGATTATGGCTTCCGATATGCTGGTAGTTGATCTGTTTCGAAGAGAGCAAGGTATTTGCATGGAAGGCACAGACGCCCACGACTACCATGAATGCTTATGCAGCATATATGAGACAGGTGTTGATAAGCACCTCTTGTGGGCTACACCTAACGGTCTAACTACTCAAGCTGAGAGGATTCTCAAATTTGGGCCGATATTTGAGAGCGATCTCACTTACTGCGATACCTTTGGAAACACACTGCTGCATTTCTTTGCCGCCCGGGCACACCCGGCACTCCTTCTTCGGGCATTGATAGAACATGACGGATTATCCAGGTGTCTCAACACGTCCGGCGAGAGTTTTCTTCACTGCCTCTCCAGGGTATGGTACGCAGGGGATGCCATTTACCTCCGCGTGCTGCTTCGTCATCTTGCTTCCGACAATAGGCCCAACAAGTTGGATGTCTATTCGAAAGATATGTACGGCCGAAGTATTTTCCATCTGATGACTGGATCAATAATCAGCAGTGAAACGCTTGCCGAGTTAATGGAGCTATTCGACTCTGGTGTTTATGCAACAAGAGATGCTTTCGGTACAGTTCCGGAAGCGACACGATCACAGATACCGTCGAAGAATGATCATACAACAGACAAGCCAGATGAGTTCGGTCCAGTCGATTATCAGGCCCGACTACGCGAAATAATCGACCGAGTCTATGCGTGCGAAGATAAAAAGGCTGAGAATGAGGGCGGCTGGAACGGTCTGCACTGTACTGCCTCCATTATCATCTCGCAAAACTCACTTCTGGCATTCCACAAGCTACCCAATCTGACAGGAGAACATCCGATATTGGGAAAGAAGTATAATCACAAGAAAATGGAAAACGATTCCTCGACAAAGTTTTTCAAGAGGAGGGAAGATATTATGCTGGACCTGATAGGACTTGGAGTTGACGTCAACGCGTATGATGCAGTGGGAAACACTGTCTTAATGCATTTCGTGGCGTATTTGCCGGAGGACGATGATCAAAAAACCCCGGTTAACATCATCGACCGAATTATCGAGTCAGGAGCTGACATACAAGCACGAAATCGCGTCGGTGAAACGGCTCTACATGTGGCGGTTCGGCTCGGCAAAAAGCTTGCAATGAAGACGCTGGTCATCAAAGGAGCCAACGTCCATGCCAAAGACATCCATGGTCGGACTCCATTGAGAATCTTGGCCGATCAGGTTCAAAAATCAGGGAATGACTCTGTGACTTACGCACATTTGGAGGCATGCTTCACATGGTTGTCGGCACAGGGGGAGGCAAAGCTGCGTTCATCCGTGCTGGATGAGTGGGGTTGGTTTGGCTTACCAACTGGCCGGGGAACGGGCAGAATGGGCTCAACAAGTTTGGACTTGTGGTACGACGAGTCCAATGCAAACTCTGTCATCAATTACAATGCAAGAGACAGAAAGAGTCAGAAGGTTCTGCAACAGCTGCGCGATGTGCTTGAAAAAGAGCCCAATGAAGAAGTCGGCAAGATTGAGTTGACGTGGCCTGAAGGTCCGAATGAAAAGAAAGAAGTTAACAACTTAGATTGCGAATACGAGGATGGGTGAGTAATTAACCTTGCCACTTTTGACGCGTCAAGGTCATGCTAATAGACTTGCAGGCGTCATGCAATCAACCGCCGCCCAGCCGTTGTGAAGATAGAGGAAAACGAAGACTCTATCAATACCTCCGATGACTCTAGTCGTGAAACCAGTCCCTCAATCGACGATATATGTGGTCTGGTTTTGAGCAATGCTTTTAACATATCCCTTAGCCAAGTTCCCCACCCTGAAGAGGCATGGGAAAGCGTACGCAGGTGTCTTGATGAACTTTCAGTCATCACGTCACTTTCACATGAGCAATCCCTTGGCCCAACTGAGAGTCATTTGCGGGTCATCAACAATTATTCAAGAGACGTGAATCCTGATCAAAAGACGAGTGGAAACTCTCTTCTCCCAGACGACGGGCAAGCCGGTGTTACCAGAGACAGGAAGCGACGGCGGTCTGATGCATCAGGCGGGCCCTCAAAAAGAGGTGATAACAGCAGCAGCAACAACGATGATGAAAACGATGCCAAGTTCCCAGAACATGGGTCGAAGACACGAAAGAAGGGTAAGACTCATGGCCGTTATACCTGCCCTTTTCGAAAGCGCAATCCTCTTAGATTCAATGTACGTCAACACCCAAGCTGCGCGACCGTTGCGCATGATTCAATATCGTTGGTCAAGTAAGTCCTCCTGTTAAGATTGGGTATCAGCTTATGAACACACTACTGATACTTGATCAAGACGCCATATCAGATTATTCCACCAGAGAACGGCAGCAAATTCATTTGTTTGCCGACGGTGCCAAGAAACCTTCCCAACATCAGAAGCCCTTGACAACCACATTCGAGTGCCATCCGATCAGATGTGCATGATCCGCGAGCAAGGAGTCTACAGTGTTGTTCATCATGGCCCGGAGGATGGGATAACTGCTGAGAAAGGGATCAAGTTGGCGGATAGAAAATCACGGACTCAGGTTTTGGATTGGTCAACACTGTGGAAAGTTCTATTTCCAGAAGATAATACTGTTCCTTCAGAAGGTAAGTCAAGTTCTCCCGCATCCCACCCCTTCGCAATTTTAAGTTTCATTGCAAATGCTAGAAGATTGGCCTAAAATGGACAGAAGCTAAAACGTAGTAGAGTTCGAGCCGGTGATTGAGCTTGATGAAGTGAAGCAGACTTTTGCCGACGACTCTGAGAGGTGCCAGAGCCTCGTGCATGATCTGAGTGGCAAAATCTGCCAATCTGCTGGCTTTGAGATCAGCTCTGAATCAGGTAAAAGATACTGGAGACTGTTCCAAACCTTCACGGACGACAATCTACGAAGACACAACGTATTAATGGCTTGTTCCCGATTTTTGGACTCGAATCTCTCGAGACGCCTCGTGGATAGTGAGGATGAAACCAGATCAAGCACGAGCAATACTGGAAGCAGCAGTCAACTCTCCAGACTTCTTTTACCTACACCGGAGTCTGTTCCTGGGACCGAACCTCCTCCAAGAAAAGCTTTTGGGACATTGCAAGAGCTTGTTGTGCAAAGGGATTCAGGCAATCAATTTTTCGATCAGGCTACCCGAAATATGCAGGGCACTGCCACGAACAGCGCCCAAAATTCATCCAACGCAACGAGCCCTGGGCAGAATCCACAAGTGGATGCATTTGATAGACGCCAAATATGCTCTAGAGTTTGCTTCACGGAACCATGTTCTTGTGATGCACTTTTAGACTGGAGCATTTATCCGTGGACCTAAGAGACGACAGATACGAATATTGGAATGACCGCTGTCGCTTGGACTTATCTAAGTACACTAGTAAAGATGTCGATTCAATATTGAGAGACCAAAATGAGAGGATTTTGCTAAATTTTGAGATATCTACCGTGAGCAGCGCTGCCGCAAGTGCAAGTCAATTTTGACCCTAATACTTGTCAACTTGGTATTTCTTCCCCTTAGGCTTTGATTATTGGCTAACTTGCAAGTTATTCAAGTCAATTCCCCCTACCCTACCTATAATATGCCCTCACGTATGCCCTCACGTATGCCCTCACATACCCTCATACCCTCACATACTTATAAGTGGGGCTATGGCTAATTTATAGCCTCCTATAGGTCAGCTGTTTATATATAAAACATCAAGTCTAACAATTCAGTTGAGGGGTGTGAAATTGCTTACTTGAGTGGTGGCGGTGGCGTCAACTTGGCCGGTTGGCTTGCATTACTTGCTAAGTGACTTGCGCTTGTGGCAGCGCTGACCGTGAGGCTTGAGGCTCCATCTATGATAGCATGAAGTTTCCAAGTAGTCTCAAACCAACGGTCCAGATGGTAATAAATCACGCTCTTTGGTTGGTGATTCAGCAAATAGCCTAATGATTCAAAAGTAAAAGGATTGCATTAACAGCAGGTAAGGATTCAATTTGGTTTTGTTGCCCTAGCGGTGCAGCGCCAGTACATAGTCATTCCCGGATCGAGTATTTGTGGCAAAACTCGGTCTCGGCGTAAGCTGACATGGTCATTTAATACGGTGCGCGACGAACATTGGTTCAGGTGCCATGCCAAGCCTGCCTGCCTTAGACATTGCCACTCGGTGTGTGGCTTCGGGCTTCTAAAAAAAAGCATCGCTCTCTTACTGGCCGCCTGTTTGATGTTAGCAAACTATTTGGTCCCCCTTTTAATGGGCTCTGATGATTGTTCTGGATCTTTCTTCTGTCAGACTCTGAGCTTATCCGACGAATTTACCTGTCGCCTTTTCCTGAGACGAGCGGAATCACTGGGAAAGCTCTTGTGCGGGACAACTGATAGAAACGAAATTCAGGACAATCCTAATATGACTCCATTAACTACGATGGTCCAGGCACCACCCGAGCACGCAGTCTCTCCAATTTCAAATCGACACACGTCGCTGGCGTCCCAAAACAACTACACGATTGAGAATGAGGCCCAGCAATATCCACAAGACTCGAATGACAGCGAAACAGAAGATGTGGGATTTGCGGCTGCCGGACGAGACGTTTCAACTCATGGCTCGATAGAGTACAAACGAGTTGCGGCAGTCGATAACGATGGGCTCGCACCAGAAGCCGCGCTGCTCAAGAGCAGGATGGGCGTCTTTACCATCTTAACAGATTGCGCTGCTGTCCTCCTCCCATTATCTCTAATCGTGTTTACTATCATCGTCTGGCGCCTCAACGGTACTGAGAATACTGCGGAGTCTCGCGAAAGCTGGCAAAACGCCATCGCAATTGTAAGTATAGGCCAATTTCGCTTTCCAGAAAGCCTCTCAACAGCATTGGGACATGGCAATAACACTCGGATCCAGCTTGCTACTGTCTTTCCCATTCTCTTCGCGTCAGTGGTTGGTCGCTTGACGTATGAAGCAGCGCGCTGGAAGCTGGAAAGGGGCACAACACTAGGCGCTCTTGAGCAATTTCAACTTCGGTCACTCAATATCGTCGGCGCTGCTTTAGTAGCAATATGGGCACTCTCTCCTTTGGGTACGCATTCCATTCTGAGAATGATGTCCTCACAAATCGTCCCCGAACCCACGCCAGCGAACATAATCTACTTCGACACCAATGCGAGAAGTCAGGCCGTAGAGTGGGCTCACTCGATGTCATTTTCGCATGCAACCTCCATGACAAGCTTTCGACCTATGTCTACGCTATACAACACTCTCGTTTCGATGCCTGGGGGGACCAAGGCGGATGCTATGGACATTTGGGGCAACGTTAAGATCCCTTTTCTGCAGCGCTTAGACACAGCCGACTGGATCCAGTTAGATCAAGGTCCAAACGCGACCGAATATTCTTCTTTGGCCGGGATCCCTCTCAATAACATCAGTGTCGGTAACACCCTATTTTCACTAGAGTCCAGCTACATCAGTTTGGATTGTTTGGATGTTGCAACTCTTACCCTGTATCTATCGGATGACGATTCATTGAAAGAGAGGGTGTTGAGTGAGGATTTATCAGTCCTTGCCGAGGTTGGTGGTGTGGACACGGATTTCACCAGATCAGCAAAACTACGTAATGGCACGTGGCATGGATATGATAATGACAAGGCCCATGTTGTTCAGGCACGAAGAGGATATTGAAGTTGAACCACCAAACCTTCTTCTTCAGGGCGTATTTCGCCCGAAATCAATGAACGCGGGGTGCTCTTTCAAAAGCCGCTGCAGGGTGACTCAGGAGTACGTCGAGTCTCGCGTCAACTGCTCACGTGCCGCCGCCACCGACAAGCATAACTGCACAGTTGTCGCTCAACGAAAGTCTCAGGAACAATATGCCCCAAGGGATATATCTCAATTATCATTCCCTGCCATCTTTGACTTTGTCTCTCGCGAGCTCCCCCTCTCTGTAGGGGGTTCCCCGGCTTTTAAGTCAGAGATCTCCCTATACCATCTCGCGGACCCTGGGCTTAGACAATTAAGGTCTGAGGATTATTGCCTTATGGAAAAGGTTACAGCCAAGGATTTGGGGACTCGCCTGAGCCAACTTCTTAACACTTACTTATTATTGAGCCAACTTTCGTTTGATATTGCAGAATGGAACGTGGAAAACGCAACAGCCGAAGCCAAGATTACGGTTGCCGCAGAAACGAGGATCCCTACCATCAAGTTCCAGGTCTCGGCGATCTGGTCAACACTATTCTTGGTTTCTAGTGTCGTGCTCTTTGCAGCTGGTATCTCAAGCGTTGTCTTCAAACATGGGACAACCGGACCGGAGGTTCTCGGTTACGCGTCTACTGTATTACGAGATTCGAGGTTCTTCGTTGTACCAAGAGAGCACAGATGGTTGGATGGTATAGAATTATCAAGAAAGATGAAGACAGAACGGCTGCGATTTGGTTCGATACAAGACCCGGGGGGAGGAGAACGACTGATTGGGGTTGGGCATCAGCAAAGCACATATCGATTAGCTAGGTAGACATATTCTTGATGCTGACATGAGGGCTCAGTGGTATATGAGTGTGGCATTCAGATACACATCTATTCTTGGATGATTTCAATCAATAATCATTTGTTGATGCCTGTAGCAAAATACTAGCGGCCCCATCAGGTATGCCGGTATAAAATCTTCTGACGCTTGATCCCTCCCTAAGCTTAATCCCCAAAGCGACATCTTAGTCTTGATGTTGAGGAAGCATTAAGTCTAGTCAATGGCATGCTCAACGGTTCCTCGAAAGGAACATGAACCGTCGCCCTTGAAGCGTATTCCTCGCCACAGGCTGCGGCTCCTTGATCTCGTCGATGGTATCAAACGATGCCACAGACTGCCTTGTGTCCCACCGCTCCAGATCTGGCCCATTCCTCCTTGCCGCATCGGCCTTCTTCTTCTTGCGGTGCTCTGAAAAGGCGATCAACGAGATGCCGACGAGCAGGAGTAGTGCCACAACAATGGCAATAGCTGTCGTCGCCGGGCCGCCCATGCGCATGTCGGAGCCCGAGTTGTGAGGTGGAGCGGCTGGGGAAGGTGTCTGTTGGGTGTCAGTTTCAAGCTTCAGACCACGACGCTTTCTAAGCGAGGAGAGCAGGGCTTACGCTTGAGGCAGCAGGAACCTCATCAGCACGTCTGACCATCTCGATAAACATTTTGAATTAGGTATTGTAGGGGTATCTTGCAAGAAAAAACGCCGTAGAAAGAGGAACAGGACTCCGATAGACCAAAGGTGCAAGAGAGACAAGTGATGTGGAGAGGAGAAGGTAGTGGAGCAGTATGCGAACTGCTGGGTTGGAGGCGATTAAAGTAGTATTCCTCAAATCCCATCAAACACAGCATGTTCGTCCCTGCGCATGTTTCACCGGGTGGGTGTCGTTCAAAACATTTCCCACCAACATCAGACGCCGTCCGTGATACCGCGAGGTGCAGCGGAGTAAGCAGCCTCCGGGCTGACCATGCATAGCACCTTTTGCATGTGTCCAACGTCTTCCCATCAATGCGGCTCTGTGTGGCAGCCCCTTATTGGAGACATGATTGGGCAGAAGTCGTGAGTGCAATGGGAAGGGTGCCGACGGGGAGGCTGCCGGCCCCCGAACGACAACGGTCAACCTAATCATCTAGAGGGAGGATAGGTCGGCGGCGAGAACGTTGGCTGGGTCCATGCGACCGGCCGAAGGAGCCGGCGTGCATGCGATGTTGAACTCAACTTGTCGGACCGAAATAACCGTTAAGCTTGAATATTTGACACAGAAAACAGGGTGTCGGTCGGTCTTTAGGTTGAGATAATTCCAACGTCCCGTCGCTGACTGCCCAACGGCTTTTTCGCAATCCGGACAAAACGGTGTCAGCAGACTTGTCCGAATACAGAGCGAGGCTTTCGCTTGGCAAGAGCTGAACTAATCAGAGGGAACCAGCTGTCGGCGCCATTAGGCAGAGCTTCTTGATGACAGCTGAAAGAGGCGGTCTCGCTTACATGATTCTTCGATGATTCGACTGATCAATGCCATGAAGGCAGGCTGCTTACCTACGCTCATCACATCGTAAGACTTCGACGCCCGCAGAAGCGGTGAAGACGACGGACGCTCCGGGAAGCATCGCCAACAGCCAGATCCATGCCTTTGCGAAAAGAACTTCATGCATGAGGCCTCTATTCCAGAAGCAGGACGCATGAAATTCCGCCAAGAAGGATGTCGGATTAGGCTCAGGTGAAGACCCCCCATCCCCATCCCACACCGAAGCTCACCTCCCTCACCTGTGGATGACAGGCTGGCCCGTGCACCGATAGTCAGGCACACCCATGTCCAGCCGTTCCTGCGATGGTGGGGCCCGGTAGACAACGTGGGAAAGAGACATTCGCAGTGGTCCACCCCGCCGATTCCCAAAACAAAGAGGAAGCCACCAAAACACTCAACACCACATCCGTCATCACCACGACATCCTCGCCAAAAGCATCAACGCGCAACATTCCTCAACCAGTGTCAGCCAGCGCCGCAACCTGCTCCCCCACCGACGTGAACGAACACAAACACCCTCCGTCACCAATCGATCGCAGACCACAAACCCCGCCAAAGCGGTCGGCCGTCACCAGAAAAGTAAACAAACCATCACGACGCAAACCCCTATCCAGCAACAACAAAACCACCGACCCTGCGCAAACGAACGGAAAACAAAAAACGATATGTCCGCCGCACAAAACGCAGAAACGTACGCAGACTGCGTCGCCTCCCTCCGCAACTCCCTCACCTACCTCCAATCCTCCGTCGAGACCCTCGACCAGGGCGTCTCCGACATGCCCCGCGTCGCCTCCGTCCTCCGCCCCACGCGCCACTTCGAGCTCATCCCGCAACCGACCCTCGCCGCCGCCGAGGCCTCCCTGCGCGACGAGATCGGGCCCTACATCGCCCTCCTGCTCGACCGCGCAGACGCCCAGATTGCTCGCCGCGAGCGCCGCATCGAGACCCTCAAGGCCCGCTGCGAGCTGCTCCAGGGCCGGCTGTCGCAGCCCAAGGACGGGGACGACGAGGACGGGTACGCGAAGAAGAAGGGCAAGGGCAAGGGCGTGGGAGGCAGGGGCAAGGCGCTCAACGGGGAGCGGGCGCTGCGGGCCAGGGCGGTGAGGCAGAGGAGGGAAGGGTTGGAGTACAGCGTTGAAAGGCTGGAGCTGGAGGTTTTGTCAAAGGAGAGGGAGTTGAGGAAGAGGTTGGACAAGGCTTGACAAGGGGGACACAGGTGTCGTGCCTCAGCTGGATCTTGGGATTGTGGGGGAGACGACGGACGCATGCGGAACGAAGAAAATGATACCCGATGACGAAGGTGGAGAGGCTACCCCAGACCCGTCCCGACGAACTGGATTTGGTCTGTGACTCCCGAAAGATGCGGCCCGATGAAAGGACACGGTCTCGGACGCCGAGTACATGACGTGAGAGTTTTAAGTTGGCGAGCCACATGTCTCGTGAGACTCTTTCAGCTCCTGTTGTGGCGAGGCTCCATCACCAAGCTGGATGTACTTTGCATGAGCCACACAGGCAGAGGCTGTTCTCCTCTAGATAGACATTTCGCAGGTAATCGCATGATGGAGGAGAGTCACGAATAATACTGTATAAGGATATGTGCAATTGCCATTTGTAAACGACAAGGGAACACCAACATGCATGGGTATCCCACCTGCGAGCTACCATAGCTATCCGAATGATCCGACCCGTTGCTCGTAACCCGTCCCAGAAAGCAGAAAAAAACAAGACACAGCCCCCTCTGCGTCGCGCGTCGGCAACATACACTAGGAGTACGGGGTTGGAAAGCCGGCACGCGTAAGTAGGCGGGTAGAAGTAAAAACAACAAGTAGAAGAAGAGAAAAGAGGCCGTTTCGGCGGATATACGAGTGCCGCCCGTGGCTCGAAAACAAGGCGGCGGTTTTTATCCCGGACAAAAGACCCTAATGTACTCCAACAAGCATTGAGCGCGAAAACCATCCCATGTCCCATATGGTCATTTTTTGCTCCCATCTCCAACGGCGAAATGAAATTCGTGAGCTCATCATAACAGGATCAGGTAGTTGCTGGGCGCAATACCCGTCTCGCCAGTCTCCTTGCGTGCTTGCCACCACCTTCCGCTCACATCGCTGACCTCCAGAATCTCGTGCTTGGAGAAGGAAATCTCGTTCGCATCGTCGGGGTTGGCCTCGTAGCTGTAGATGGCTTTCGCGCGGTACGGGTACTCGGTTGGTGGCACCACCTCCTGATCAGGAGTCTTTTGGGGGCCGGCACCGGGGGTGCTGAATGTTGGTGCCACGGCGGACTCGCGAGGCTGGGTGGAAATGCCCTGGACGGGGGATGGGTTCTCGAATCCGTTCAGTTGCGCCGAAGTGTACATTTGAGGAGGCTGCACCGAGGTGGAGGTCTCGGGACGGCCGCCGCCGTACATCATCTGCCTGTTTCCAGACTCCTTCTGGAGCGCGAAGGAGTCGAGGTAAGCGCGCGGCTTGGCGGAGGGGGCTGAGCCGAAGTAGAAGATCCAGACGATCTGCGCTCGGATTAGCAAAGCTTCTAGTGCACAGCAACAACGAAACATACGGTAACCATTGCCATCAAAATGAAACCAGCTCCAGCGGCCTGACGAGCTCCATTGGCGGAGTAGATGAGAGAGTGGATGGTGAGCGAGTTCAGAGCCAAGGCGGCGCCCAGGTATCCCGTGAGGGCGACATGGTAGGTCTGTGTCGTGTCGGATGCGACGACGACGAAGACACCGGCAATGAGGAAGAACATGTAGACAACGGTCCACCATGCGAAAGCGGGGAAGGATCCTGTGCTATTCGTGACTTGCGTTGTGGCGATGATGGAGCTGATGAATGCGATTATCCATGCAAGCTAAGGAGGGGTCAGCAAGAAGTTCACAAATTGAAACCAGAAGTTGTGCAGCGCAAACATACCATGGAGATGGAGACTGTGGCCAGGGCGAAGGGATCACCAATGATGTTTCCCAGATTAATGCCCTTTCTCCCGTACTGAACCCGTGATTGTTCCATTTTGCGCAACGATGGTGAATGCAGAGAACCGTAAGAGGGCATAAGGAAGACGTTCGGGGTTTGGTGGGGTGCAGAAATTAGATGCCTCGAGGCAAGTATCGAGGATTGGGTCTCGATTGAAGTGACGATTCAAAGATTGAACCTGGCAACTTCAAGGCGCTGCGACGTGGATAATCGTAGCAAACGGTTTTGTAGAATTGGCGAGACAGTGCTGATGTAGCGTGCTGTACGTAATTCGGATGCCGTAAGGGGGTTGTCGTGGCTGGCGGGAATGCAAGTCGTCGAAAAAGGAGTGACTGGTGGTTGGGCTCGTAGGCGAAATAAAAGAAAGAGTGCCGGGGATGTTGTCGGACGGTTTGCCGTTCAATGCGTCAGGGAGCGGAAGTGCTGAGCTGAGCTGAAGAAGGCAGCGAAGGAAGGCTGGATCAGATGAGGTAAAGGTAGGTCGTAGGTAAGGCGGGGGAGAATCTGTAATCTCGAATGCGAGTCGATCGTTTCAGAGGGTTGTCCAGCAAGGCAGCCTCTTTTCTAGGAAAGAAAAAGAGAATGAATGGTCGGAATCAAGTTGTCGAAAGGCGACGAGTCAAAGACAGCAGCAATGTGGTGCGGTCGTGAAGGTAAGGCAGGAAAGGGAGAAGGTAAGTCGAAGGAGTGAGGAATCGGATGAGAAAGGATGCAAGATGGGAAAAGACGACGGAGGTCGAGAGTCGAGCCGAATCGAGTCGAGACGAGACAAGCCGATGGAACGAACTGCGCACGGCGGGAAAGCAGGCGACAGTTGTAAGGGGCAGCGAGGCGACGGCGCAGCGCGGGAGGAGAGAACAGGGCGGGCGCTGTTGGTGTCTCTGGTGTCGGTCGAGCGAGTCGAGTGTGCGAAATGAAGGGCACCGACTAGCTGGCCCAAGAAGGAAGCAGGCGGCGTGGAAAGCGAGGCAGGAGAAGTGAGCCGGACCAGCAGACCAAACGAAGAAGAAGGCGTGGTGTGGCGTCGACTGTTGGTGCCGGCGTGGATTTTTTTAATCGCAAGAGAAGCTCAAGCCAGGCACTTTCACCGGTAGGCAGGTCGACTAATCGAGGAACCAAAAGGTCGACTAACGGGCGGGCTGGATTGGAGCTTGTGGTACCCGATCGCGCGTTGAGGTGCAATCCGCCCCTATTATTTTTTTCTTGCAGGCCGACGTCTCTATGCTTCGAGTCGCGCGTCGACTGCTGTGTTGAGGATAGGATGGGGTAAGGTAGGCTGAGCTATCCAGTCGTTAGGGAAGCCCAGGCAGGATGTGTTTGTCGGCGGCGCTACGAATACGCTACGTAGGATACGCGGCGTGTTTGGCGGGTATTTGTTATTGTTCGGCCTCAGTCGCGCAGGCGTCCTACTCGTTCTCGACGAGGGCGGCAACCAATGTCTTTCTTCCTCGCTCTTTCTCTCTCTAGTCGACAGTGAACGGCAGCCGTAAACCGTTGTCGGGGAATGGGTTGAAAGGAGTCCAGCGAGAGGGATGGACGGGGGGAGGGGAATGGAATTAAAAGAGGAGAGCGAGGAGAGACCTGGGCTCAGGTTGGCAGTTGGCAGACCGGGGAGCAGGAGCAGGTGCAGGGCCAATCCAGTCACAGTGAAGGTGGGAGACTTTGCAAGGGCAGCTGCAGGTCCCTGGGCCTTGTCAGCGTGCAGCGTGTCTATCGCCTGCTGCCATGTATCCGTCAGGAGGTAGCAATAAGGCCAGGTCAGGTCAGGTAGGAGGCTGTGCAGGCCAGAGAGTGCGTCCGGCGTGCGTGTGAGGTGCAGCAATGGAAGAGTGTATCTGTATGTTGCTACAGTACGTTGCAAAAGTACCACCATATTGTCCCTATTCCAGCTGCATTTCTCTCCCTGAATGTCGAATTTCCCAGTAGGCCAGGCATGCCTTTCCATCTGGTCTATAAGCCTCTGATCATCTATCTATACACTATATACAAAGTGTGCGCACGGCATAGTGGACGTGGACATTAATTAAATGAACGTGCAAGTGGAAACCCAAAACCAAGAGACGGGATCCAGACTCAATGAGACGCAGAGAACGTGGACTGGGGCCCATAATACGGGAAGCGAGACGAGCAGTGGCGATGGGACAGCCAGCAAGGCCAGCCGCAGCACCAAGCATCCCGTCAGCAGTGAGGTGGGAGCGTGCCTGGGCCCTTGTTTCCACTGTGGAAGGAGCACAGAAAAAAGAAGCGGGACCAGGCTGGCGTGTCGCACCCACGCTAGTCCGGAAGGAGCCAAATTTTAAATCGACTCGTCCAGGGTGTCCGATGGAGAGAAATCAATAAGAGCAGCAATCATTGCCAATGAATGCTGCTGTTCGAACATTCGGACGGACAGACACCTGTGACCACCACCTACGATCCTCGTTGCAGTGCGGAGGGCTTTGACGGGAAGGATGGGAGACCCGGCCTGGCTGCTCTGGCACACGCGGGTGCTGTCTGATGACCGACACCGTTTGAGCATCTCGAAATGGCACCGTGTGCTGTTGGAGACGGTACCTCACAGTGCAGGCGTGGAACGGTATCCGTGGACGGCACGTGCCTCGAGCAGATCCATCTCATTCCATTTCCAGTATCTACCTGGCCAGCAAGGAAGGTCTACCTCGTGGACAGGTCCTGCCTAGAACACCTTCTCTGATGGAGTAAAACGCGCTACCTAGTACACGACAGGAAGCACGCAACAAGAGAGGATCTCCCGCCAGTCCACAAGCAAAAGGCCCGGTGTCTTCTCACGATATCCACCACCTACCTACTTCAGGTACCTACCAGGTAAGGGCACCTCACCTTGCAGTGGTGCCCCAGAAACCGTTGGTCCCTGCCCCCCTGATTGCCATCGAGGCTAGGGTTTGAGATTTTTGGTCTTCTCTAGACTCTCTTGGTCGCTGGTTCCTGCAACGCATCCCACCACACCAACTGGACAACCACCACGGCATGACTCTGGTGATTGGCCACCATGCCCGCTAACCCCTGAATCAGACCCGCTCTTCGAGGCACGTTCCGGCGGGTGCTCTTACCTTAACTCACCTCTCTCAGTGTCTCCCTTCCCTTCAGGTTCAGCCCTGAAGCCTCGAGGTTCTGAGGCTGCCTGCACCGCACCGCTTGCCTTGCCTGGGCGGAGACTTGGCCAGACCTTTGGATCGTCCCTTCCACGTCGTCGACGACTTTCAGTTGCACCTGTTCATCATGGCAATCCATACCTATGGACTATCCGAACAGTTCGAATTCAAACTGGTTGACGTCTTAGTTTGCCTCGCATACCTGACCCCGGCTGCGAATGCGAATCGCCTTCACGACCAAACTGGAACCGCCCTCCCATCGTCTTCACATTCCACAGCAAAGTCGACACAGACAGGATGCAGGGGCGTCCTATCACTTTCCCGCCCGCCTCTCCTGCCGTTTCATCGCCAGCACACCTTCACCGCGTGAGCGGGCAGAGATCAGCATGCATTCGCCCGATGCGGTCGCTGACTGACCGGAATCTGAAGATGCTCAGCACAAAAACGACGGCCTGATGCGCTGAAGAGTCGTAACCGTGACGGGGGACATCCGATACCCACCTTTCAAGTCCCAACCCTCGGACCCTCACCCGTCCTCGAATCTTCGCACTTGCTTGTGGGTTCTGTCCACCCGGGCTTTGCGGCTCCTTTGACGACCGATTGTCCGTGTCGAGTCCGTCTGTCCATCTGTCCACTGAGGGCTGGCGAGAAAGGGTGCTGACAGCTGCAAATGCCACCACTTGATACCGTGCTGCTGCCAGCGCCCCTGTGATCGACTGGTTCACGCTCCGAGTCCTGCACTTGATACCGTTTGATATGCAGGAACGCGGCCGGTCTCCGCTGCCCGCGCTTGAGCTCGGTTCTGTCACCGCTGGATGACATCTGCGCTGCGACATCCGGCTTCTGCTCAATCAACTTGTTGACGGCGCCATTTACCCCGGCCTGGTTGGTGTCTGGTTGATCCTACAGCGAGACTAATCGCAGGCAGCGGTTGGCAGGTTGTGGTCTTGAACGCCCGAGACCACAGAAGCCGTAACACCATATGCCGCAGGCCATGTCTTTTCTCGCAGAACAAGCGCCCAACAACGAGATAATCAAGTACCGAAAATGCCTTAACCCCCGAAACATGGCTTGTCCAAGTGACACTAGCCTCCCAGCTTCTTCGAGGACACTTTCGAATCGTCATCGCTACCGATCATCCTCACCTTTGCCTCGTGATATTACTGCTGGTAGCATACGTGCAGCACCATCCAGAGCTTACCCTCCTCGGCCTGGGATGGACGCTGCTTTGACGATGAGCGCACAGCCCAGCCCAATGTCACTGACAGAACTTGACTCGCATTTTCTTCTTTCATCCCATGATTTCTCACCTATGCGTTCGCGAGTCTGGGGGGAACTCCGGAGATCATGTTGATCAGCACCCGACCAAACTACCGGTTGCGAAACACCTTGCTGATGGGCGACGAAGGAGCAACACCTTGACAACGCTTCTGGCAGAGCCTCATCCGCTGAACTCGCTCTGGAGATCTGGCTGTTCGCGGCCGACGGTGCTAGTCTCGGCCTCGCTTAACTCGACCTGGTCCAAATTTGGAAACCCTTTAACCGCGAAATTACACGCCGTCAGGCCGATCGCCGGGTCTCTCGGCGCTTCGTGCTGGTCGGCTTCTAGGTCACTACCTACCGGACCGGGCTTGAAGCATTCGCTCCCGCTGCACATCGACGGACCACAAAGCTGCCGGCGTCTCTGACAGAGTCCTTTTGCCTAGTCGCTGGAATTAAGGAAGAATTCGCGAACCGCGTCGCGCGCAAACTGTATTTGTGCTCATATGCTAGTGGTTCGCCGGCTCTGAGCCGCGGCGCACATGATGTTCGTGGTGTTCATGCAGCCCGAAGGTCCCGAGACCGTTCATGATTCAAATTCCCTAGGATCCACCCTATTACCGCGTTCGTGTCAACTGCAGCGCCAAGTCTCTGGTCAATATTTGA